CCTGCCAGACCTCAGCGTGTGGGCCGAGATGCTGGACAAGTCACCCATCAAGTACACCCCTCAGGTAGGCAGCCGTCCCCCTGCCCGGTACGCTGCCAGTCTCTCCAGAGCCCTGGGGCCCTGCTCACCACCGCTCCCCACACCCCCAGGTGAAGACCCCGCTGCTCCTGATGCTGGGCCAGGAGGACCGGCGCGTGCCCTTCAAGCAGGGCATGGAGTATTACCGTGCCCTCAAGGCCCGGCACGTGCCTGTCCGGTGAGTGCGGCAGGCCGGCCCTGGCAGCTGGTGGGCAGGTGAGCAGGGGAGAACCGCCACCCTTAAACGTGGCTGCACAACCACTGCAGGCTCCTGCTCTATCCCAAAAGCACGCACGCGCTTTCAGAAGTGGAGGTGGAGTCGGACAGCTTCATGAACGCTGTGCTCTGGCTGCGCACGCACTTGAGCAGCTGAAGCCCCGCCTCCCTGCAGGAGCCGCACTTGGCTCTTGGAGAGCCCCGGGGTCTGGCGGACCAGCGACGGGATTCCTGGGCTGTGGGCTTCATGGATGGGTGAGCCAAGGAATGTAGGCTATACGGTCATAATAAACGAGGACACAGAGTCTGGTTCCTGCTGGTACTTTATACCCAGCCATCCCTAACCCCAGCCTCACCGTTGGGGTTCAGAGTACTGTAGGCCCTGGGTGTGGTAGCCTTAAGGACCTCACCTACCTCCAGCATGACGGGGAGGGGACAGTGAGAGGCTCAGCTGCTGCCTGTCAGGGCCAACTGGGATCTCACTAGGCTGGCTCCCTCTGCTGCAGGCTCTTCTGCTAGAAACTGCCCTACACCACCCTTCTCTTACCAGCAGTTTAACTAGGGAACTAGTGAGGACCTGCCCTTCCACCCCACCTACAGGCTAAGGTAGTCCTCGAGTGAGGTCTCCCAGCCCAGCTCTGCTGAGCTTGAGCCACCCAGGCCCTAGCAAGGGCGTACACCAACTGATTTCCCAGCAGAGGCTAAGAAGCAGCCTGCAGAGGTGTGAAGAGGAGAGGCAGCTTTATGTCTGACAGGAAACTCTGTCCTCTCCCAAATACATGAGATCGAAGTTGGGCCTAGCCCAGCCGCATGACCTTGTGAATCCAGTCCGTAAACACAGAGACGCGCATGAAGATGGCTGGCCAGCGGGGCCGGGCGCACACTCGGTTGGGGATTATAATTCCCTCCAGGACCCAGCAGTCATGGGTAAAGCAGGCAAGTGGGCCCCCGTAGTCACCCTGGTAGATGGAAGACCTGGTGAGGGGGCCCTGGGCCAAGGCAGACACTAGCCTCCTTGGGGATAAAGTAGTACATTTTCAGGTTCCCGGACCCTCCCTGAGCTGGGAATGGGTGCCCCAGCACTGACCTCACAGGCACCCACAGGGGCCAAGAGTCCCTCAGTGCACATCTCATTCTCCCGTACACGTCCGCGGTGCTTGACGTTACATTTCTGGTTGGAGATGACGTTCAGCGAGGCCACATTTAGGACTTTGTTGTTCCCTGTACCTACGGTGATAAGAATGGGAAGGAGGAGAGGGCCTCTGGGTAGGATCTGAGGCTAGGCCTCCTGGCCTGGGGTAGCCCATGCCCCTGCACGGTGTTCTTTCTTACCTTTGGTCTCACCCCAGCCTGCGATCTCACACTTGGTGCCTGGAGGCACCACATACCGCTCAGGGGGCAGGCAGATCAGGGCCACTCGCTGGTTCAGGGTCACAGGTCTTTAATGGGAATGAGGGTGCTCAGCATGTAAGCCCACAAGGCTCAGCCCCACCTCACACCTCTTGACTTGTCACACACCTCTCCAGCTTGAGCAGAACAAGCTGGGAGCCTGAGGGCCCGCACACCATCTTGGCCACGGGGACCTGCTGCAGGCTTGGCTCCCCCGGCTGTGGGTTCTGGAACAGGGTGCCCAGCCACACCTCATAGCCCATGAGAGGCACATGGCTGGGGGAGAAGCTCTGCTAGATCAGTCGTGACTCATAGTCTGCTGCCCCAAGGCTCACCTGGGAAAGGTAGCTAAGGGGAAGATGAAGGCAGGGGGGTGTGACTGGGTCCCCAAACCCAAGGCTCACCAGGAAGAGAAGCACTGCCGGGCGGTCAGTACCCACTGCTCCTTCACTAGGGAACCCCCACAGAAATGCTGGCCCTGCCTGAAGGAGTAGAGGTTAGGAGAGAACAGTGAGTTCTAGGACACAGGCTGGACTTGCAATCTCTTGGCTAAGACCCCCGAGGCCAGGGACAGGTTCCCACTCCCCAAGCATAAGTGCAGAGGATATAAGGATATGCCCTCGGCTCCTCTCTTGAGGAGAGGCAGTTGTGCCTCACCGATTACGCAAGCTGACTGTCCAGGGTGAGTTCCCAGGCTGGCCCCCCACCACACGCAGCCTGGAGCGCTGCTGGTCCAGGCGGGTCACCCTCTTGCCACACTTCTCAAACACCACCTGGTCTGGGGCATAGAATGGGCCTCGGGAAACTCCGACTGGATGGAGGCCCCTAAGAGGCCCCAACCCAAGCCTGGCCCAAGTGCATACCTGGGGGCTCCAGGATGGACGGTGGTTGGTCATCATCTGAAAAACCAAGTTCACCTGCGTTGAGGGAGCCAGCCCTCTAAGGTGGAGGCTGGGGGCGGGCCCCGAGGGAGTGTCGCGCTTACCGCAGCGCCGCAGTGCACAGTAGTCGAACGGAGTCCCCGGGTCCGTAGTGTAGCACCAGGGCCCGTGGCTATCCCTATCCGGGTTCCGGCAAAAGTTCTCCTCCAGATGCGCGTGGGGGGCGGAGGTGGGTGTGAACCTGGGCGGGAGAGGACGCGAAGTCCTAGCAGGGTAATCCCAAACCCCTGCCGGGCTCGTTAGGTGACGGCGTGCCGCCTTAGGGGAGCCTGTGGCCTTGGTCCGGGAGGGGCCGGGCGCGCGGACCGACTCACTGCGGCTTGTGCGGCATCTCCGCAGACCAGTGCTGGCACGGGACGCCCTTGCGGGTCCTGCTGACCGAGCCGCGGTACCGCTGCCCCACGCCGTTGTAGCAGTCTGCGGCGAGCGGGGGCGGCCGTCAGCCGGTTCTCGTCCCAGCCCTCCGGCTCCAAGCTCCCAGTCCCAGCTTGGGCCTTACCTTCGGGCCGCACGTCGTCGGCGCAGCGCGGGATCTGGTAGCAGAAGGCCACGCGCATGCCAGGCCGCGACGTAAAGCACCAAGGCGCCTCGGAGCCGTCGGGGTTCCGGCAGAAATTCTCCCGAAGATCCCTGGGCGGGCGCTCCTCTCAGTTCTTGGTGGGGCGCAGCCCACCGGCCGGCCAGCCTCCGGCTGGAGCCCCGCCCCCGGCTGGAGCCCGCCCCCCTGCGATCCCCCCACCTTCAATCAAGCTCCGCCCCGGAACCCCACTCCGGAGGTCCCAGCTGCAAAGGTACGCCCCCCAGCGGCGGCCCGCCAGCTCACTTGCAAGCGTATTTCTCCGGCGCAAAACGATGCTGATGGGGGTTCTGCGCGTCCCACCGCTGGCAGGGCACGCCCGCGGCGGTGGTGTTGGCCGTGCCCCGGTAGCCCTCGCCCTTCCCGCGGAAGCAATCGAGCGTCGTGGCCTCGTGGCGCGGCTGTGCCTCGGACCCTTGGATGGACGGGTCGGAGCCCGAGTGGGAGCTGAGACCGCGGCCGGGGCGGAGGCCGAGTACAACGCCCGCGGGCCCACCGCCGGGTCACGCCCAGTCCCTCCTCTCTCCGCAGGCAGGCCACGCCCCCCACGTTTCCCAGGTGCCCTCCCAGGCCCCGCCCTCGAGCCCTACCGCAGCGGGGGAGGTCGCAGAACTCTCGCTCCACCTGCGGGTCGGTGGTGTAGCACCAGGGCCGCTCGGAGCCGTCAGGGTTCCGGCAATAGTTGTCGTCCAGATCTTTGTCAAGGAACCTGGCGGCGGTAGCGGGGCGCGAACAAGACCCTGGGCCTCGGGCCCAGGGTGGCCCCTGCCGTATTCCCGGGTCCCGCCCCTGGAGTCCTGGGCCCTCCCCTAGTCCGGCCCCCGCGATGCCGCGCCCGCCCACACGTACTTGCCCGGCTCAAAGGGGTGCGCGTGCGGACGCTGCAGGTCCCAGCGCTGACACTCGCGTCCGGACTCGGTGCGGTCCACTGCGCCGCGATAATCCTCGCCATTGCACCAAACGCAAGCGGCTGGAAAGACAGGCCGGTGGGTTCGTGGACGGGCGTGGGCATGCTCCTCCAGTCTCGACCCAGAGCCGCTTACCCTCCCGGCAGGACTTGATGCCACAGCTCTGGAAGCGCACTGCAGGGTCTGTCGTGTAACACCAGGGACCTCCGGGGTCCCGGTCAGGGTTGCGGCAAAAGTTCTCCTCCAAGCCGTTCCGGAGTGTGGGCGTGTACCTGGGGGCAGAGAGCAGCAATTCAGTGCGTGCTGGGGTGGGGGCAGGCGCCGGGCCGGGCAGGGACCGAGGGGGAGGTGTCTGTCTTACTTGTGGTCATTGGGGAACCTATGGCTCCAGTGCTGGCAGGGTAGGCCGCCAGTGGTGATGGCCACCGTGCCCCGGTACTTGACCCCATTGTCCATGATACAGGTCTGCACATAGTCTGGGAGGAAGAGACCCATTGTCAACAAGGCCTGAGGCCTCAGCAGCCCTATCGCTGGCCCACCTTCTCCACAGCCACTTACCTTTCTTTTGGAAGAGGTCACAGCGCCCCGAACGTTTCAGCTGAGTATAGGGTGAGTATTGGGTCCATGGCAGCAGTTGGCAACCGTGGCTGCTCACATTGTAGTGGAAGGCCCTGGGAGGACGAGGCACAGGGTTGCCCAGGTTCACCTGCCACCCAGTCTTACTTAAGTCCTGTAGTCACTCACCTGCAGTCCAGTAGGGGCCCGCAACGCCCTGCACACTCCTCAGCATCTGCCACATCCTCTTGCCAAGGCCCGGGCCCCACTGCATGCCGCAGGTGTTGCAGTTCCGTACCCCGGAGCACCTGAAAGTCATTCAAGGGCGAGCGCTGCCCTGTGGGGGTGGGGGTGCACGTCAGTGCATTTATGTCCGCACATCCACACTTCATGCAGGGGATCAAAGCTACAAGGCCTCTGGGATGGACCCTGTGGGCACGTTCAAGGGTGAGACCCCTGTACGGGGAGAAGCAGGCCCAGACATGGTAGTTACCACCAGTGGTCATGTTTACTAGGCAAGGCACTAGGCTCAGGTCTAAAACCTACAGTATCATGAGAGCAGTGGGTGATGGTGCTTGCCCTGGGGAGCTTATTTCATCTCAGCAACACTAAGGCTCAGAGCTGTCCTATTACCCAGGCCGAGGCCCAGCCCAGGCATTCTGACTCCAAGTCTGGGCTCCCATCAGCAGCAGGGCATACGCTAGGTTAGAGGGTTAGATTAGGCTCATGAGGGGTAACTGCCTGATGTGCGCATGCATCTGTGCGGTTCCCACACTGCCTCAATGCTACAGCATTCTAATTCTAATGCAGGCATTCTAATTCAGGCCTGAATAGGCAGTGTCCAGATGTATTCCTGGGGCTACCCAGCTCTGCACAAGAAGCCAAGAGCATTCATTGGCTCCATGCCCAGTAGGAAAGTGAGCTCCTGGCCTGAATAGCAGGGTGGGCCCAGGGATGACCCCTTCCTGAAGGCAAATGGGGATCAGGGTGGGGGGCACTCACCAGGGGCCCCTGAGCACTGCGTCAGAAGCAGCAGGAGTGGGAGCCACCCCATCCTCCTGGCTGGAGGTTGCACTGTGACCCACCACAGCCCTATCCGGGAAGTTGTGAAACCTGTCCCTACGGGATTGGGTGGCTCTGCCTCCACACCCCCACTCCAGGCCTGCTGGAGCCTGACCTGAGACCCAGTGGCCGGAATGGGGGTGGAGCCAGGCCTCAGGCCCCCGGGGTGAAATGCAAGGGCCCTTACTCTGGCACAGTTAGCCCCTGCCCTATGTAGTGGGCAGGTGTTCAGTGGGGACACTTGATGTGCCCTGGGGTGGGGTTGGAGACCCTCTGCAGCCTACGTTGCTCTGAAGGGAAGAGTGGTGTGGGCATGATTGGTGCCAGAGGCTTGGGTTCTAGCCCCTGGGTGGTGCGATACTAATCTTTTCTGAGCCTCAGCTCTTCCCTGTAAAGTGGCAAATGTTTCCTGACCCAGCCTCAAAGCAGCCTGCCCCTTTTGCTGACTTATCAGCCCCAGCTGTAGGCAAGTCAGCCCACACCCCAGCAGCAGAGCCCAGAGAGGCTCCCCTCACCAAGGCACAGTTGCCAATCCAGGAAAGGTAAGCGAGGCGACCTGTCTGGCCTGAATGGACGTGGGAGTGACAGGTAGCAGGGACCCTGGCCGGTAGCCTTTCAAATGTTCTGGGAATCTCTGGGCCCGGCCTCCACGTACGGGTAGGAGTTGGGATAAGCGGCCTGGGGCTCCCAGTTAGGACGTAGTGCTCGGACCGGCTGGGCTAGGAGCTTCTGCGCAGGCGGGGGTCGGAGGCGGTTGGGCTGTCGGTGGAGGCCGAGGCCGGGAATGACCCGGCTGGAGACCGCGAGGGGGCCCCCTCGCGCGGACGCCGGGCGCGAGCCGATGCGCGTGCGCGGCAAGACCGCGGTTTGGCCCTGGACAGGCGCCGTAGACGAGAGGCTGGGTGGATGTTGTGAGCCGGGGCGCCGCGGCCGAGGCTGGGGGTGAGTGAGGGGCGGCTGGGCTCCGAGCGGGGCGGGTCCCTGCCGCTCCCCTCCCGGCCGTAGCCGGCCCAGTGTGAGGGTGCTCGCCGCCCAGGGCTTGCAGCCTGTGACGCGAGACTCCGGGCTGGAGCTGGCCTGGAGGATCCTCCGGCGCTTGGGGCCGGGCGGGGGCGACTTGGGGGAGACATGCGCTGCTCTCTGCGTCCTTGGGCGCCGAGATGGGGTCGGTTCCGTTCCGAGTCCGGATCCCTCGGCGGGGCTGGACAGGATCGACGGGGCAGGGAATCCCTGAGCAACGTCAAGTCCGCCTATCACCTGGGTCCTCAGCACCTGACACCCGGAGTGGATGTCTGGAAGGTTTGCTGATCAGATGAGTGACCGGGTCTAATCTGCCCCGCACCTCCTCTGGTGTGAGATGGGCAGCGGTCAGTCATGGACGCCCGCGGAGGGCCGGTCGTAGGCGGCATGGCGGGACAGTCACCTTCCCCAGGGGCAGGCGTGGTGCGGGCTGTGAATGGGCAAGGGTGTGTGGTGGGAACAGAGGACCTGTGTGAGGTGAGATAAGGAACTGGGCTGCAGAGATGGGAGTGCAGTCGAAGGCAGTGCTAGAAGGCCAGGCTCCAGACTGGAGTTCATAAAACTTTCTGTGATGATGGGAGTGTTCTATATTTTCAGTGCTTAGTACAGTAACCGCTAACCATATGTGGTTACTGAATTTTTGGAATGTGGCTAATATGAGAAGTTGAATTTTTAAGTTTTAGTTCACATGTAAATAGCTGTACATGGCTAGCGGCCACTGCGTTGGACAGCACAGCTCCAGATCACTGAGGCCGTCACCAGCGACTTAGTGCATCTTCTGAAACAGCTGCAGCAACACCATGGCATGGGTGGGGTGGGCAGCAATGGGAAGAGCAGCAGGGTCTGCAGTGATGACTGGGCGAGGGTGGTGCTCTGATGGGTGAAAGGCTGGGCGTGCGAGTGGGAAGAAGAAAACTAGCAGGCCTGTGGACAAGAGAAGGGAAGATCCTGGCCTTGGGTGTCAGCAGGACTTAGGGCTGGAGATGGCACCAAGCCCTTGGATGATGGGCCACACTTAGGGGAAGGTGGGGTAGGGTTCTCTCTACTGGATATGAGCTAGACCCAGTGTGGCTTACAGCTGAGAAGGAAACAGGGTCTGTCTGTCTCTGGGCCACCTCACTTTGGACACTTGGGTCTCATTTTTCTGGGGTTGAGACATTTAGTTTGGTGCAACAAACCTATATGTGACAGCTACTCCCTGTCAGGCCCCGTGCTGAGCCCTGGAACGTGGTGGGGTCCCTATCCACCCTCCCTGTGTAGGAACTGGGAGGCCCCTGCTCTCTTGTACCCTGGGGTTGGTTTGTGTGTGAGTGTGCATGCACCTGGCCTCACCTGCTCCCAGGCCTTCTTGCCACCCCGGAACTGAGGTCATTATGGGGGCCCTTGGCTGGCTTCAAAGAGATAAGCTCTGCCTCTGGCTCAGCCCCCCAGGACCGCTGGCTGCCCTCAAGAGATGAAGGATGGCGTCCAAAGAGTCCAGCATGTCTTTCTCCCGCAAGAGCTATAGGCTGACATCAGACGCTGAGAAGTCCAGGGTCACAGGTAAAGGCTGGCAGGGCTGGGAGGAGGCTCCTTGTGTTGAGGGAAGGAGAAGGAAAATACAAAGGCAGTGAAGCCCCAGGTCTCATGAGCTGCAGGCCCTGCTGCACCCCTTGTCCTGTGAGCGAGCTCTTCTTCAGCAGCCCTGGGGCAGTACACCCAATGTGACTGCTTTTCTGAGCCCTGTGGCTGGCCTGGGACCAGGAGCCTGGAGGGCCAGCACGGTCTGGGAGCTGCACCGACCATGTGACCCTTCTCTCCCTCTGCCTTGTGGCACAGGCATCGTGCACGAGGAACTGCTGAATGACTACCTGCACCGCATCTTTTCCTCTCCTGAGCATGCGCCCACTGCAGCCACCAGCAGGTATGGCCCTGTGGGTAGCCCCTCACTCCGAAGGACCGGACCAGAGGCTCTGGGTAGACCGGCTTGGGTTCTCTTCTCACTCTGCCACTCCTGGCTGTGAGACCTCTGGCCAGAGAGTCTGCATTCCAGCCTCTGCTGCTTCCTCTCCCCTGGCCGTGTTAGTACCTTCCTTCTGAGGGGGGTGTGGAGGTTAGGGAGGTGGTGCACATGCAGTCCTTAGGATAGCAGCTCACCCCTACTCCACAGTCAGCATCTGGTCCGTGTGTGCACCTGCCCGCACTTCGGTCCCATCCCGGTCCTCTGTAGCCTCTGCCTGACCCTATAAAGTGCAGACCCTACCAGCCTCTTTTCCCTGCAAGTTGAGTGTGTTTAAGCTTAGTCCAGATCAAAGTTACAAGTGCACTTGAGCAGAAACTTAGAAGAAAAAGAAAGAAAAAATCTGTTATCTTGTTACTCTAACACGACCACTTGAGTGTGATTTCTTTGTTTTTCTTATTTTGTGACGTATGTAGTTTGGATTATGCTGTATAGAAATTTTTTAAAACTTCTGTCATCTTCAATTTTTTTTTTTAAGATTTTTTTTTTTTTTTAGAGAAAGAGTGCATGGGTGAGCGAGCCCATGAGGGGGGAGGGGCAGTGGGGGAGGGAAAGGGAAAGAATCTCAAGCAGACTCTGCGATGAGCGTGAAGCCCCATGCAGGGCTTGATCTCATGACCCTCAGATCATGACCTGAGCCAAAACCAAGAGTCGGACGCTTAACTGAGCCACCCAGTCACCCCCACCTTCAGTTCTTAAAAAAAAAAAAAAAGTTTTATTGAGGAATAATTGACATGTAATAAACTACATGTATTTAAAGGATAAAATACAGTAAGTTTTAATCCAGATAACCTGTGAAACCCATCAAGCTAGTGGACAGGTCCCTCACCTCCAAAAGTATACAGAAGTTTAGATCCTATTTGTCATTAAACGTTTTCCCCTGAGTGGTTTTTTATTTCTTTTTTTTTTTTTAAAGATTTTATTTATTTATTTGACAGAGAGAGACACAGCGAGAGAGGGAACACAAGCAGGGGGAATGGGAGAGGGAGAAGCAGGCTTCCCGCGGCGCAGGGAGCCCGATGTGGGGCTCGATACCCGGACCCTGGGATCATGACCCGAGCCAAAGGCAGACGCTTAACAACTGAGCCACCCAGGCGCCCCTGGTTTTTTATTTCTGAATTCCGAATAATCTTGGTGGGCATCTTTTAGGGCCAGGGGTCTGCTGTAGCCTTTAGCACTGCCCCTGGTTTGGAGGGGCTTTTGCTTCTGTAAACAGTGCTGTGAAGAGGTGCCGAGAGTTGGAATCATGCGGCTGGAGCATTTGAACTGCAATCACGTTTAAGACTCTTGCTAGGTTCTTTCTTTAAAGGGTCACATGGATTCTGCCTTCCTGCAGCGAGGCATGGGTGTCCCTATCCCAGCCCCCTGGCCAGCTGGGCTCTTCTGTCTTCCACGGTGTCTGCTCTCTGGGCAGGCACAAAGGACAACACTGTCGCCTGTTCCATTTAAGTGGCTACGGTGGCCATAGGATTCCCACTTGTGGAGGGCCAATGCCCACCTCCATGCCAACCCCAGTCCTGGCCTGTTCCCAAGGCCATCTGATCCCTGCCTCATGTGATATCAGAAATGGTCGTGCTGTCACTGGTTCTCTGGCTGCCAGGAGGGAGAGCAGGTGGCGGGGCCATCACTCAGCGCTTGTGTGGATGCAGAGCCCTGGGCCGGGACCTAGGCGATCCAGAAAGGGCAGACAAGTGCTGCATTGGCCAAAGGGCAGTGCTGAGTCTCAGGCCGGCTTCCCCCAACTGCTCTTGAGAGCAGGCGCAAAACCAGAGCAGCCCTCCCAAGTGGGGGCCCATGAGCACTGCCATGATGGAAGCCTTTATCCCTGGGCCTGTTGGGGTCTTCAGAGATGGGGTTGGCTGAAACTTTCCGTGCTACTGGTGGGGCACCCCATGGCATGGCCACCACCTGGCTTTGGCTTGGGGTTTAACAGGAATGGGGAGGAGGCTTCGTGCGTCTCTACCTCCTACAGCTCAGTAGTGGCTCATGGCAGGGGGGCATGTGGTTCCTGAGGCTGGGTTGACGCTACCTTGCCAGAGAGTGGGTGCTTTGGCCCATCTCTGTCCCCTTCCAGGGCCTACCGTCTAGGCCAATGAATGGGGAAAGAGCTGGGATCAGAGGTGGCAGAGCAGGTGCCAACAGTCTGTGGGCTGGACCCAGGTGGGCGCCAGTCTCTGTTCTACTCGAGCCCTGCTGATTACTGCCACCCCATTCCCTGCTATTCTTAGCAGCTGTACTCAGGACAGAGCTGGCCAGCATCAGGCAGAGGCCTTTCTCCTGTGAGCATGTGCACTGGGAGGATAAGGAGGCCACTCAGATGTCCCCAGCCGCTGTGGCTGGAGCAGACGGTGGATAGGCAGGCCATATGCTCTGTTCCTGTACACGTGGTTACAGGACAGAGCCAGCTAGTAGCTCAGAGGGCTCATCCCTTCATCCTCCCAAGGCCTGTCTCATTCAGCACAGACTTCCCTGGCTGGGACCACAGGCCTGGGGTCAAGGGCCAGTCTAGCTGTCATTGGTACAGGCCACCTTGGGGATCGGTACTTCTCCCGGCCTTTCTCTTCCAGGCAAATCAGCACAGAGCTGCCTTCGAGGGTGGGCGGGTTATGGGCCATGCAGGGAGCATGCATCATGCTTTGGGATCTTCCCAGCCTTTCTAACACACAGCTGTTGTTCCCTTTTTACAGAGGAGGAAATTAAGGCTGAGGGAGGGCTCATCTTTTAAGTCCTGAGGTACACCACACTGGACTAGTACTTTTTAGTTTAGTGGATAGCCCAGCCTTCTGGCCCCCAGCATGCCAGAATCTGGGACTAGACACAACACTTTTACTGGAGTCTGGGCAGCCACTGTCTGAAGCTCAGAGGAACAGAGCGGGAGAGGGGTTTAGTGTCATCTGGCTGGTTTCGAGGACTCACAGCCTCTGCTCTCCCCAGGAAACCCCTGAACTTCCAGAACCTGCCAGAGCATCTGGACCAGCTGTTACATGTGGAGGATGAGGATGAGGAGAGCCAGGGTATGTGGCAGTTTCTGGAATGGGATTGGGGGAGCCAGGCTGGGCTCTGGGGGTCCTGGGCGTGCCTTCTGTGCGTTCTGTCAGACCCTGTGCCCTGCCCAACCCCACATCTACCTCTCCCTTTCAGGACAGGTTGAAGGCCGGCTTGGCCCATCCACTGTGGTCCTGGACCACACAGGTGGCTTCGAGGGGCTTCTTCTGGTGGACGATGACCTCCTGGGGGTGAGTAAGGGCAAGGCGAGGGGCCCCAGGTCCAAGCCCCTCCTGACAACCCCAAGCTCCCCCTGACAGCCCCAAGCTCCTCCTGATGGGGCCTTGGTCTCTTTACCTTTTCTTTATGGGGTTATAGCCACAAACCCCTCCTGATGGGCTCATTGAGTCCTCAGCCCCCAAACCTCCTGACACGGCCCTGAAACCTTCTTGATGTGACTCCGGCCCTGAGCTCTTCCCAACACAGCCACAACCCCCTCCCGTCACGCTCCTGACCTAGAATCCCTTCTGACACAGGCCTAGGCCTTCCCACCCTGTTCAGGCTCAGTGCACTATTGGCCATGACAGGCAGGCACCACCAACACCAGCTGAGTTGGGGATGGGGCCCTTCCCCCTCGGGGAGGCAGTCTGTGTGCCGGAGAGAAGGCTCACCATCCCTACTCTTCCCCCAGGTGATCGGACACAGCAACTTCGGTACCATCCGCTCTACCACGTGCGTGTACAAAGGTGAGACCACGCTCTGCTGCAGCCCGGGTCGTGGGGAGAGGATTTGTGGGCCCCCGTCCGAGGCAGGAGGCAGTCTTTGTTCACCTGCTAGGCCTGACTCGGCTTATTCCAGGGAAATGGGTCTACGAGGTGCTCATCTCCTCTCAGGGGCTCATGCAGATTGGCTGGTGCACTATCAACTGCCGCTTCAATCAGGAGGTACGTGCGGGAGAGGCCCCCTCCCAGGGAGAGGTGCTGCTGCCGCAGGCCTCACTGGGGCGCAGGCAGCCCACCGGACCGCGCGAGGTCTGCTCTGGACTGTAACCCAGACTGCCTTCTGGAGGAGGAATGCGTCCCACCCCATCCTAGGGCCACCCAGCCCAGGCAATCTCTCCTTGTCTCAGAGCATCGGCCTCTTTCTCTAGAGCTCTGTGGGTGCAAGGTTGATGGCCTGTGGGCTGTGGCCCTGCTCCTAACCTACTCCCTGGACCTTATGGACGCTTCCTCCTTAGGAGGGGGTTGGAGATACACACAACTCCTATGCCTATGATGGCAACCGGGTGCGCAAGTGGAATGTAACCACGACGAATTATGGCAAGGTAAGGGCCGAGACCCCTGTAGCCTACCTGCCCATGTCCATCCTCACAGCTTGGCGGGATCACTGGGCAGCCGCGAGAGACTGTAGGGCACGGGGTGGGGGTGGGGGGCAAGGACTCAGGTCCTCTGTACTTATGGTCACCTCCCCTGGGCGGTAATGGAGACACAGCCGCAGGGGGCAGAGTGGGCAGGCTTCTGGGCGTCTGTGTATCTGTAAGACCTCCTCCCCTGGCAGGCGTGGGCAGCGGGGGACATTGTGAGCTGCCTCATCGACCTGGACGATGGCACCCTGTCCTTCTGCCTGTGAGTCTCCTGCCTTTACCCACAGGCCTGGCCTCTGGGGCCTCCCTGAGCTGCCCTCAGTTTCCCAGTCTCCGTAAGGGGGCCAGGCCGACTTCGGTAGCCTGAGGGTGGACAGCCGCAACAGGGCCTGGCTCCCTGGCTTGTTTCGGCTACGTCATTTGGCTCACAGGCCTTCCCTTCTACTCCAGGAATGGCGTGTCGCTGGGCACCGCTTTTGAGAACTTGTCCAGGGGCCTGGGCATGGCCTACTTCCCAGCGATCAGCCTCTCCTTCAAGGAGTCCGTGGCCTTCAACTTTGGCAGCCGTCCCTTGCGATATCCTTTTGGGAAGAAGTCTGGACTGCATGGAAGCTCTCGAAGCAAGGGATGAGGGGCTCCCTGCCTCAGCAGTTCTCTGGGCTGGTGATGGGGCCATGGTTGCTGTGTGCAGAGAGGAGGGTGCAGCTTAGGTGGGTGCCGAGGAGCACGGTTCTTGTGGCAGCCTCGTTTGGTGGGTACTGCTGTGGTCGGTGTGGAGCAGAGGAGAACGGGAAGCGGCAGGAGAAGTTGGGGCCCGCGGAGACAGAGGAAGAGCTCTGAGGGAGCTCAGAGGGAGCACGCACCAGGCGCTCTGACTTCCCAGCACTGCCTCCGGGCCCAGGCCCCTCCTCAGGGGTCTCAGTGGAGAGGGGCAGGGGGTGTCTGAGCCCCAGACCGGCTGTTGGCGGCTTAACTCTGTGGCACCTACCCAGTGGCAGGCTACCGGCCCCTGCAGGACCCGCCGCATGCTGACCTGGTGCGGGCGCAGAAGTTGCTGGGCTGCTTCCGGGCGGTGCTCAGCGTGGAGCTGGACCCTGTGGTGAGCCGGGGTCTGGGTGGGTGAGCTGGGGGCCTTCCGCAGCCCTCTGCCCCTCACCATCCCCCCCCCCCCCCACGCAGGAAGGCCGGCTGGTGGAGAAGGACAGCTCCGAGTGGCAGTTGCAAGGCCAGCCCACTGTCCTCCTCACGCTGGCCCACATTTTCCATCGCTTCGCGCCGCTCCTGGTGAGGGCACGTCCGGGAGGGGCAGAGGCAGACTGCGCTAGGGGCTGGGAAGCTGGGGTGCGTGAGGTTCAGCACCATCCCCTGGCCGGGGCCCCCTGTGACCAGAGCCCTCAGACCTCAAGGATGTCACCCAGGGGAGGAGGAGCTGCTTCCGGCCGAGGGTATCGGGGGAGGTCTTAGAAAGAGGGTTGACGGGGAATGACACGACCGGCTAAGGGAACTGCGTGTGCGAAGCGTCAAGGAGCTCCGGGGCGGTGCCTTCCTGCGTCTCACTCAGACCCCGAAGGGCTTATCTCTGTCTTGGGGTCGCTCGAGTGAGCCCGGGAGTCTCTCTGTGCCTGTGGCCTCGGCGACGTGCCAGGGCCGGGGTGCCCTCAGTGGGGCAGAGGGCCACCGCCTCACCTGCGCCCACCCTTGGTGCAGCGCAAGGTGTACCTGGTAGAGGCTGTGCTCATGAGCTTCCTGCGCGGCGTCGTGGATGCGGGCAGCCCCGCACAGGCTCAGTCCGTGGTGCGTCAGGTCCTCGACCTCCTGTGGCTTTTCATGGAGGTGAGGCTCCCGACGGCCTGGGGCCGGGATAGCAGGCTCCACCGAGATGGGGGAGGTGCAGGGAGGGCTTGGGAAAGGACCCGCAGGTGGCTGTCTTGGCGCCTGGCCTCTGCTGGGCAGGCATGCAGCACGGCATCTGTCCCCCAGGACTACGAGGTACAGGACTGCCTCAAGCAGCTGATGATGTCCCTGCTGCGGCTTTACCGCTTCTCACCCATCGTCCCGGACCTGGGCCTACAGGTGGGAGCGCCTGCCCCTGCCCTGAGCCCTCTGGGCCTTAGCTCCGCCCAGTCTGAGCGCTCCCTCCCCACAGATCCACTACCTACGGCTCACCATCGCCATCCTGAGGCATGAGAAGTCCCGCAAGTTTCTGCTCAGCAACGTCCTGTATCCTCCCCTTGCCGCCAGGCAGGCCAGACGTGTGGTGTCCTCTGGGCTCGGTAGAGGCCAGGGGGGGCAGTGTACCGCTGGCCAGGGGGTCCCCAGGGAGGCTCGGGACCAGAGCCACCCAATGCGTGAGTCCTTATTCCAGGACCCAGCCTTCCCAGCACCTTGTCCGCAGAGCAGGGAGGGTAGAACAAGGGGCCCTGGCCAGCCTGAGCAGGGCTTTCCGGATGGCTGCAGACACCGGCACCACACAGAGGTGTGGGGGCCTCACCGGGGCCTGACCTCTGCAGCCAAAGCACTGCTCCTTATCCAAGTCCCGTGGCGGGGGTTCCTACAAGAGTGTGTAGGACTCCACTCTCCCTGCTTCCCAGCAGTGTTGAGGACTGTGTCACGGGAGGGAAGGCCCTGGCGGAGAAGCCTGGGCTGGTAGCTGTCTTCTCTGTCTGGGGTCTTCAGCCTCCAGGAGGCAGACACAGCTGGGAGACGGGGAGACCGCCAGGCCCTTTCTCCAGCCTGTGCCCTAGTCTTGAGCTCCCGTGACAAGCCTTTTTCATCGCTTGCTGGGAATTGGGCTGAGCGGGCTTGACAGCCATGGCTCTTCATCAGGACTCAGAGTCAGGGGAGACGGGCTTATAGCAGCGATGGTACCCCTAAGGGTGGGAGAACGTGGTGGGCACATGAGGAGATAGGCGGGTTTGGGGACGGCTTCCCAGAAAGAACGCCTGAGGGCGGATGGCTCACCCTTTGGCGAGCAGAGCTCTCCCTTGACGACCACCAGCTTCGACGTGCTCCGGTCCGTTGTCTTCTTTTACATCAAGAGCCCCTTGCGAGTGGAGGAGGCTGGCCTGCAGGAGCTCATCCCCACCACCTGGTGGCCCCACCGCTCCGGCAGGGAGGTGGGCCCCCTGAGAGGGGCGGGCAGGGTCGCAGTGAGGGCTGGCCCAGACTATCTGAGCCACCTGGCACTGAGCACGTGAGGCCCCTTCCCCGGCCTGGTCTGTGGGGTAGGGGCAGGGGTCTCCTGTCTGAAGCAGGCCCGGTTAAGTCCTGGGTGAGCTCTGCTGTCTTCCATCCCCTGCCCCTTCCCCTGCCCAGGGCAAAGACAGTAAGGACGTGAAGGATGAGACTGCCGAGGAGCGCGTGCGGAGGCGTGCCTACGAACGGGGCTGCCAAAGGCTCAAGAAGCGCATTGAAGGTCGGCCCCCTGCCTGGGGCACTGGGTAGGGGGTGGAGGATTTGTGTGTGCATGTACTGGGGGGCCCTTGGTAGTGACCAGGTCTAGATTGGGCTTGTGGGACCCTGGGAGTGGAACCCAATCCAAACCTGCCATCCCCTCCCATCCCTGGGAGCCTGAGGGCAAGGCCCTGGCTGAGAAGGGCTCAGTGTCGTGTTTCCCACCCTGCCCCCAGTGGTGGAAGAACTACAGGTCCAGATCCTGAAGCTGCTGCTGAACAATAAAGATGATAACGGGGTGAGTGACTCCCAGACCCCTGCATGGGTCCCTGGCAGGGAAGGGTGCTGGTCCTGGGCCCTGAGGCCCAGAGGGCAGGCACTGGCTTGGGTTCCCATGGCAGGGCCCAGGCTAAGCCACAGCACTGAGCTAGTCCACTCTGGGGCCAGCTCCTTACAGCCTCATTTTCCCTTGCACCAAAGGGTGAAGCTTCTAGGTACATCTTCCTGACCAAGTTCCGAAAGTTTCTACAGGAGAATGCCAGTGGCCGGGGGGTAAGTGTCCACTAGGCCAGCCCACCATGGACCCCTGGCTGTGTTGACAGGTCTGCAGCCTTTTGGCGCCTCTCAGCCTGTGGCATCCCCGCCTCGTCTTGCTCTTCCTCTGCTGCCCTGCTCTCCGTGCTCCACTCAGGGCCGGCCTCGGATGAGGAGTGAGTTGGCTCTGGGCTGGCATAAATGCGTATCTTGTGCCCTGTGCCCGCAGAACATGTCCATGCTCTGCCCCCCTGAGTACATGGTCTGCTTCCTGCACCGGTTGATCTCTGCCCTCCGCTACTACTGGGATGAATACAAGGCCTCGAACCCTCATGCCGCCTTCAGTGAGGGTGAGTGGGGCCAGGCCTCATCAGAGAGGCTGGGCAGGGCTGCCCCTGGTGATGGTGTGGAGTGCAGAGCTGGCGGTCTGGTGGGGATGGAGCTGCCCCAGGCTTCCTGCCCCATTGAGTTCTCTCCTCCTGATGGGTGGCTTTTCCAGCGGGCAGCAGGAGCCCCACCCTGGAAGAGTGCCAAGCCCATATTCACTCTGTCCCCACAAGTTCCTGCCCGTTCCGGGCTCCTCTCCTCAGTCCCAGCCATCTAGTCCTCTGTAGTCCTTTGTAGAGGACGCCGTGGGCAGGCTCTGAGGTGCTGGGGGCTGTGTTTGTGGGGGACAGGGTCCTCAGGGTCAGTGGGAGCCGTGCTTGCCCGGGACTGCAGGATATCCACAGGGCTGGGCAGGGTCCTCTCTGAATGTGACCGCAGCCAGAATGCCCCTTTCATCCCAACCCGTGCTGTTGGGGCACTGACCTGAAATGGCGGAGGGAGGGGAAGCCATGCTGTGTGCCTGGGAGGGTGGGTGGCCGAGGCCAGGGGTCCCCTCAGTGCTAAGCAGTGTAGAGGGCTGGCTTCTCAGTGGGTCTTCCTGCCTGGCTCACTGCTGGCTCACGCCCCACCCCCTCCCCGGCCCTCGCAGAGGCCTACATCCCGCCCCAGGTGTTCTATAATGGCAAGGTAGACTACTTCGACCTTCAGCGCCTGGGAGGCCTCCTCTCACACCTTCGGAAGACCCTCAAAGGTGCGTGCAGGCCTGTGGGCAGTGGGCAGGACAGACGGGGCTTGGCAGGGGGTGTTGGCCGGGAGGCGGTCCCTCAGCCCACTCGGCCTGGAGTGCTGGATAGCCTGTGCCCACCAGAGGGCGCCCGAGTATCTCGCTCTGCTCCAGCAGGGAGCTGCCCGCCGGCCTCTTGGGTCCAGCCATCCCTTCCCTCTGAGCACCCATCCCGGGGGGAGGCTGGGAGTCCTGTAATGAAAATGAAAATGAAATAGGGGCACGTGTGCTGGCTGAGGAGTGACCATGGGATCTTGGTGAGGTCACAGGGATGGGAGGGGAACGTTCATAAGCGCTGCCTGAGCAGCTTCCCCGGGTGAGCAGAAGCAGCTGCGAGCACAGAGCACAAAGGCAGGGATGCCGGCAGCAGCCCGGCAGGGCCCGGGGATAGAAAGCCGCGGGTGTACCAGGCCGGGAGCGATGGGAAATGAGGCCAAGGAGTCGCACAGGTGCAGTCTGAGGGCCCTGTGGGCCACGACGCAGGTGTGGGCTCATTCCAGGGGTAGGGGCCGCTCTGGAAGGTCTTGAGGCAAGGGAGTGAAGTCCGGGGTCTGTGTGTGAGAACGGAGTGCCTGGGCCAAGTGAGGAGGTAGAAGGAAGGTGGGGGTGAAGGGCAGGAGTTAAGGAGGACGCCAGGCTTCCTGTCGGAGGCTGTGGGGATGGGGCGGCCTCAGGAAGGGGCGCTGCAGGAGGCGGCCGAGATGACAAGCCCGGTGTGTTTGGGGACCGGAGCCTGGGATGCAGGCAGAGGTGCTGCGGTCAGCTGTCGGTGTAGAGGCGGGAGCGGACACGTCTGTGGTGAGGCCTGTGTGCGCGGTGGGACAGGCCGAGGCTTAGACAGCCCCGGATCTCGTGTTCGTCGGGAAGGAAGCAGTGGGGCAGAGAAGTAGAGGGTAGGGGGCTCGGGAGAGCATGCAGGCGCTGCAAGCGGAGGCACTGACGGAGGGCATGATGGGGAATGTCCCCTGCTGTCAAGGCCCTCGTGAGACAAAGGGCTTGGGACGCAGCGCAGGCCGGGGCCAAGTGAGTGGAACGTGCAGGCAGAGGGGCAGTGGGGCGTGCTCAGCGCGCGGCGGTCTCTCTTGCCATCCTGGGCCGTTCCACTGTGACCCCTCCGCCCTCCACTGGCCTGAGAGCCCTCCTGCCATTCCTCCCAGATGACCTTGCCTCCAAGGCCAACATCTTGATCGACCCGCTGGAGCTCCAGGCGGCCACCATGGATGACCTGGATGAGGACGAGGAGCCAGCCCCGGCTGCGGCCCAGGTGCCGCGGTAGGGTCAGGCAGGGTGCTTGGTGTCGGGCTGTCCCTCTATCATAAGGGCAGGGGTGTCACGCAGGGCCCTTCCTCTCTGTGCAGGCAAGGAGCTTCGCACCAAGCAGGTCTCTTTGCTGTAGGTGGAGGCACACACCTTCCTGCCATTTCCCAGCCCCACAAATCCACGGGGCCCTATATGGGCCCCAGGCCCCGGGGAGCTGAGTGGCGTCTGGCCTCCTCTCTCCTCCACAGCGCCCCATGCAGGCTCTGGCCATGGGGGGCGTGCTGCCCCTGCCCCGGCCCAGCTGGCTCAGTTCTCCAACCCTGGGCCGAGCTAACCGCTTCCTCAGCACAGCAGCTGTGAGCCTGATGACCCCCCGGCGGCCTCTGAGCACCTCGGAGAAAGTGAAGGTCCGCACACTGAGCGCCGAACAGAGGACTCGTGAGGACAGTAGGTGCCGGGCAGGGCCAAGCGTGCCATCTGTCGTGTACGGTTCCCCATCCTGGGCAGAGCCAGGCTGCACCCCCCTTCCCTCCTGGTCCTGTGGCCCAGCAGTAGCTCAAGGACGTGGGAAGTGCACTCCGGGGGGAGGAAGTCAATGCTGCAGAAATAGGCCTAGAGTGGCGGGCCCTTGTCCTGCCCCCACCCCTGCCTTCTCCCTGCAGTCCTGGGTCCCAGGGTGGGGGAAGGGGCTCCCCTTCTCCCGCTGGGAGGCCCAGCCTGGCACCACAGACCTGGGAGAGAGCTGGAAGGGCCTGCGGCCTTGACCCTGCCCTCCCCCCACTTCCTAGTTGAGGGCAGCCACTGGAACGAGGGCCTGCTGCTGGGGCGGCCTCCCGAGGAGCCGGAGCAGCCCCTCACCGAGAACTCCCTGCTGGAAGTCCTGGATGGCGCTGTCATGATGTATAATCTCAGCGTTCACCAGCAGCTGGGCAAGGTCTCCCACTGGTGGCCCTCGAGTGTGGAGTGCGTGCATGTGACCGCACGTGGACGTGTGCCACGGCGAGACTGACTGCTGCTGGGAGCGTGTGGGCCTGACCTGTTTTGTGGGAGGGGGGCTGTGCAGGGCCAACGACCTGGAGCTTGGCAGGCCTGGGGGCCGGGCTGAGTCTGGAGAAAGCTGAGTGAGGTGCCCAGGGCTCACGCCGGATACGTGGTGTCCGATGCTCTAGATGGTGGGTGTGTCTGATGACGTCAACGAGTATGCAATGGCTCTGAGGGACACAGAGGACAAGCTCCGCCGGTGCCCCAAGCGGGTAAGGCCCGATGGGCAGGTGGGTTTGGGGGAGGGAGGGCTGTTAACAGAGAGGTGGCTTGCGGGCTCGGGGTTCCCAGGGCAGGCTGCAGAGGAAATCGGGACTGCCCTGCCCCTGCTTCTGGGGGCTGCCCCGGCGGGTTTTCTGTCCCTGCCCCCCACCCCCCCCACCGACTGTGCCACATCAGGGAGAGCGGGGCTGGCATTAGGGTGTGGCATGACCTGAGCCCCATCACCAGCCACAGCCCGTGCCAAGGTGCCTCCGCCCCCTGCCCACTAAGTGCTGACGCACATCCACTCTCCTCATCAATTATGAATTCGACCCTGAGTGCTTCCTCAGCCACTTGCAGAGTCAGCAGGAAGTGGGACCTGCCTCCCCCACTCCCCCTGAGCCCCTCTGCCAGATCTCTCCAGGCCCCGGGGAGTAGGGCTGAGCATGCCTGGGCTGGGCTTCCCCGGCAGGCCCCTGCCCCCAGCTGGATGCGAAGCCCAGGCTTGGCCAGGGTGAGAGCAGCTCCTGGAGCTCTGGTCCTAGCATGGTCCCTGGGGTGTCCTGGCCATGGGCACACAGAGCCTTAGCTGCGTCTCACTTCCACGTTCTGTGCAGGTGACCAAGGCCCTGCTCTGTGGCCTGCTCAGGCTTGCCAGGGGGTCAGAGGCAGAAGCAGAATTGAAGAGTAGAGCTGGGTCTGCCCACCCATTTGCCTGTTCTGGGCGCCAGTGGGTCCCTTCCAGGCTGCCTGGGGAAGGCGGGGTGGGGCTGGGGCCATGGCATGATGGCTCTCCTTTCCCCCTGGGGGCAGAGGAACGACATCCTGGCAGAGTTGACCAAGAGTCAGAAGGTTTTCTCTGAAAAGCTGGACCACCTGAGTCGCCGTCTTGCCTGGGTCCACGCCACTGTCTACTCCCAGGTGAGTGGGTGTGGCCTTGGCCGGTGGTTGCTGCCCTCCCTGCTCTCACTGCCTAGTCACAAACCGGGCCAGGTTGTGCCAGCCCCTCAGTGCTCCCTGCCCCCCTGGGCCTCTGGCGCACACGTGCCCCCTCCCCGCTCCTCACCTCCCCTACCCCTACCCCATGCTATACCCCCTGAACCTCTCCTGCCCCATGAGCTTGAGTAGATGCCCTTGTAGGCGCCCCAGGTCCCCTCCGGCTCACACATCCTCCCTTGGAGGAACAGAGCCTGTCTCTGCCTGTCTCCCCTTCTCCCCTGCCCCTTCTCTCTGGGGTGGAGGGGCGCTCTCCTGGAGCCCCACTCGCCCTCACTCTGCACCTGCTTCTTTCTGACTCCCCTCCCTCCTTTGAGGCTACAGCCTTGTTTCCTACTTTGTCATTCACTCGCTCATTGATTCAGTAATATGTGCCCAGAGCCTGGAGTATGTCAGGTGCATCCTGATGCTAAGGACACTCAGTCATGACCTAGAAGGACGAGTGTCTGCCCTCCCAGGGCCATCGGCCTTGAGCGGTAAACTGAAAGATGATGCACTCTCCCTGTGACCCTACTGTGACCCCCAGGCCCCGAACCCTCCAGACTCGCTTCCTCTCCGAACTGTCCTAGCATCTCTCCCCAGCTAGTGAGTGCCCCTGTTGGGGCATCTGTCTACCTTTTTAGGCATGCCCTTCCCCCATAACTAGGTGATCAAGGCCATTGTCCACACCTCTACCCACCATCCGCACTTGCTTTTTCCCAGCCTCCTTCCCAACCCGGACCACCTCCACCTGCTACCCCTCCTTTCTCTCTTGCCCCTGGCCGCCTTGCCTCCAGCCTTGCGGAGGTGATCATGGTCTGGGAGCTTCCTCTCCTCCCTGGACGGGGATTTCATGGCTGTCCGCTGGCCTAGGCACTCTTGCCCACCCCTCCGCACCATCTTCTTAGGCACCTCACCTTACCATCTCTGTAGCTTCTTTTCCTTTCTTTTAAATTATGATAAAGCTCCCTGCTCAGTGGGGAGTCTGCTTCTCCCTCTCCCTCTGCCCTTCCCCCTGCTTGTGCTCGCTAGAATAAAATCTTTAAAAAAATAATGATAAAATATACATAAAATTTGTTTTCTTAACCGTTTTTTTAAATTGTGAAGTACATATATTGCTTACCGTCTTAATCATTTTAAATGTATAGTTCAGTTAAGTTTGTTCACATTGTTGTGCGGCCAGTCTCCAGAGCCCTTCATTTTCCCAAACTGAGACTTACCCCCCCACCTCCGCATTCCCTCGTCACCTCAGGCCCCTAGCACCCGCCATTCCGCTTTCTGTCTCTCTGAATTTGACCACCTTGGGGACCTCCTGTAAGTGGAATCCTGCAATATCCTGCTTTGTCACCGGTTTATTTCACTGAGCGTAACGTCCTCCCAGCTTTCTGTGGCAGTGGTCAGGATTTCCTTCCTTTTTAAGGCTGAATTATACTCCATTGCTTGTATGTACCCCATTGTGTTTGTCTATTCATCTGTCATTTGGTTTGTTTCCACCTTTTGGCTGCTCTGAATGGCGCTGTCGTGTTCATGGTGTATACAACTTTCTCTTCAAGATTCTGTTTTCAGTTCTTTTGGGTATGTACCCAGGGGCAGAATTGCTGGATTACTCGGTAATTCTATTTTTAATTTTTTGAGGAACTGCCATGCGGTGACTGTACCATTTTACATTCCCACCAGCAGGGCGGGCATAGGGGTTCCAACTTTTTCCCATCTGTGCCAACACTTGTTACTCTCTCTATTTTTTTGATAGTAGCCATTCTAATCGATGTGACGTCTCATTGTGTTTTTGATTTGCATTTCCCTATTGATCAGCGATGTTGAGCACCTTTTCATGTGCATGGCCATTTGTATGTCTTCTTTGGAGAAATGTCTGTTTAAGTGCATTTGCCCATTTTTAATAGGATTGTTTGTTTTTTGTTGTTGATTCATAGGAATTCTTTTTATGTATTGGATATTGGCTCCTTATCAGATTATGATTTACACATATATTCTCCCATTTTGTGGCTTGCCTTATCACTCTGTAGATGGTGACTTTGTCACAGTTTTCATTTTGATGAAGTCCAATTTATCTCTTTTTTTCTCTCTTGCCTGTGTTTTGGTTGTCACAGCCCAAAAGTTGGTGTTAAATCCGAGGTCATGAAGTCCTCCCACAAGTTTTCTTCTAAGAGTTTTGTAGTTTTAGCTTGTAAGTTAGGGTCTTTGATCCATTTTGAGTTAGTTTTTGTAAAAGATGTGAGGCAATGGTCCAGGTTCATTCTTTTGCATGTGGAGATGCAGTTCTCTTAGGACCATTTATTGAAATGACTGTCCTTTACGCATTGAATGGTTTGGCATCCTTGTTAAAAACCCTTGGATCATATGTGTGAGGGTTTATTTCTGAGCTCTCTGTGCTATTCCATTGGTCTGTGTGTCATTTTTTATGCCGGACCACACTGTTGTTTTTGTTTTTGTTTTTTTTAAAGACACATTTATTCATCATCATGACCAGACTATTACATTTAGCAACTGACAGCATGGGTGCAAAAAAAAATCTACATTAAAACCCTTTGTTGGAATGCTTTACACTTTCCACAGAACATAAACTAAAATAACCTGTTGTACAATTAGTCACAAATACAGTCCTCGAGTTTTTGCCCATACACATGAGTATTGTCTAAAGCATGTCTTCTTTGTAGCAGCTCGGCCCTGCCACCACTGTGCTTGGCTGAGTTCACAAATCTCTTGTAACCTGTAGCTTCCCTGCCCCTTCTCTGGCTCTCCTCTCCTGCTAAGCTTTGTTTCCTGGCAGTAATTAAAACCTTCTGCCACTGCCGTAGCTCCTGCTGCTGCTGGAACCGCCACAGCCACCTTGGTTTCGTGGTTTGCCAAAGTACTGGCCTCCACCACCATAGGGGCCGGAGTTTCTGCCTCCAAAATCTCCTCCTTTCATGGGTCCAAAATTTGAGGATTGGTTGTTGTAATTGCCAAAATCATTATAGCTTCCGCCACCTCCAGAGTTGCTTCCATCATTACCAAATCCGTTATAGCCATCCCCACTGCCACCATATCCACCTCCACCTCGACTGCCACCAAAGCCACCTCGACCACTGAAGTTCCCTCCACGACCAAAGTTGTCATTCCCACCAAAACCACCTCCATGACCACCACCAAAGTTTCCAGAACCACTTCGACCTCTTTGGCTGGATGAAGCACTAGCCATCTCTTGCTTAGATAGGGCTTTCCTTCCTTCACATTTGTGGCCATTCACAGTATGGTATTTTTGAATGACAGTCTTGTCTACAGAGTCATGGTCATCAAATGTTACAAAAGCAAAACCTCTTTTTGCCACTGCCTCGGTCAGTCATGATCTCGATCACTTCAATTTTCCCATACTGTTCAAAATAATCTCTTAGATGATGTTCTTCAGTGTCTTCTTTAGAGCCACCAACAAAAATCTTTTTCACAGTTAAGTGGGCACCAGGTCTTTGAGAATCTTCTCCTGAGACAGCCCTCTTTGGTTCCACAACTCTCCCATCCACCTTGTGTGGCCTCGCATTCATGGCTGCATCCACCTCCTCCACAGTGGCGTACGTGACAAACCCAAAGCCTCTGGAGCCCTTGGTGTTTGGATCTCTCATTACTACACAGTCCGTAAGCGTTCCCCGTTGCTCAAAATGGCTCCTCAGACTCTCATTGGTTGTTTCAAAGCTCAAACCTCCGATGAAGAGTTTCCGCAGCTGTTCAGGCTCTTTGGGAGACTCTGACTTAGACATGACGGCGGTGGGAGGGGAGACTTTATCGATGCTTACTTGGCGGTGTCCATGGGCAGAAAGGAGTAATCTAACGAACGTGTCTTTGGACCACACTGTCTTGATTACTGTAGCTTTGCATTAAGTTTTGAAATCAGGAAGTAGGAGGTCTCCAACTTTGTTTTGTTTTGGCTATTTGGGTCCCTTGAGACTCCATATGAATTTTAGGATAGATTTTTCTTTTTTTTTTTTTTTTTAAAGATTTTATTTATTTATTTGACAGAGAGAGACACAGCGAGCGAGGGAACACAAGCAGGTGGAGTGGGAGAGGGAGGAGCAGGCCTCCCACGGAGCAGGGAGCCCGATGCAGGGCTCAATCCCAGGACCCTGGGATCATGACCTGAGCTGAAGGCAGACGCTTAACGACTGAGCCACCCAGGCGCCCCAGGATAGATTTTTCTATTTCTGCAAAAAAATGCCATTGGGATTTCTATAGGAATTGCATTAAATCTGTAGCTTTCTTTGCAGAAACATCCCCACCCCCGTTACAGTGGTCCTTTGGGTACATTAGTGCCATCCCCTCCTTAGACTTGGACTTCTCTGGCCTCCTGTGGCAGTAGGCTCCCAGTAGCCCTCCTGGCTCAGGCGCACCCTCTGACCCTTGCTTATATCTTCTTGGGTTCTTAGGTTTGAGGGCACATCAGAGCTGAGGTCAAGTCCAGATGCTCCAGCTCCAAGACATGTGGGTGCTCTGGGTCTGGGCTGGGGCCTTGTTCGTGATCCCTCCTGGGCACAGACCGTGTGGGAACCATCCTGTGGGGAACAGGGCCTTTGGCAGGTGGTTTGCTTTCGGTGGTCTCTGCTCCACCAGTAATCACTCTGCCTCCTTCCTTCCCACCACCTTCTCCTCTGAGCTCCAGACCTGCTTCCTCAAAACCACCTCTTTGGGGGCATTTTTAGGCACCTCGTGCTGCCACATCCCCTCTGCCTTGGACCAGGCCTGCTTCTCCTCCAGTACCGCTGGCCTCTCTGAAGGTTCCATCACCCCCAGAAATGTGCGCCCCATGCTTGTGCAGCCAGTCTCTTGCCCCCACAGCCCATCGGTGCCTCCCCATCCTGGCCATCCAGTCCCTTGTCTGCTGACTTGCGCCTAGATGAGGCTGTGCTTCTTCACTGCCCTGTCCCCACTTGTCACCATGGCTCATTTTGCACGGGGCAGCGTTCCAACCCAGACTTCTGGTCACATGGCACCTTTTCAGTTAAAACCCATACCTACCTTTCTTTCTTGCATTCTTTCTTGTCTTTTATTTATTTATTTAGAGAGAGGGAGGGAGAGAGAGGGAATCCTGAGCAGGCTCCATGCCCAGCGCAGAGCCCGACATGGGGCTTGAGCTTACGACCCTGAGATCATGACCTGAGCCAAAATCAAGAGTTGGGCGCTTAACCCGAATGAGCCACCCAGGCGCCCCTAAAACCTGTACCCTTAAAAAACTGCAAGCTAGAATTCTGGTCTAGGCTGGGGCGTTGCCCTTTCTGGGCACGGGGTGCACCCTCTCGCCTGCCAAACACGTGACTGCCCTGCCCGAGCCACTGCACCCACTTGGGAACACGGAGGCCTTTCCTGGGCCCCCGGACCGAGCCATGCCCCTGTGACCCTTCCCACGAGCAGCCCAGCAGCAGCCCCTGTGCCTCCCGCAGGAGAAGATGCTCGACATCTACTGGCTGCTGCGCGTCTGCCTGCGGACCGTTGAGCACGGCGACCGCACGGGGTCTCTCTTTGCCTTCATGCCCGAGTTCTACTTGAGCGTGGCCATCAACAGCTACAGCGCCCTCAAGAATTACTTCGGCCCCGTGCACAGCATGGAGGAGCTCCCAGGTGACAAGGAGGCCTCTGGCCTGAGCCCTGGCAGCCCCGTTCTGAGCCTCCTAGCCCAGCAGCACGCATCCGCGGAGGGAGCGGGCGCGGGCAGCCCCTCTTCTCCTCGGCCCTGTAGTAGACAAGCATTTGCAAAAGCCCCACCTGCTGGAGAGCCCTGCCCGGCACCGTAGTCCCAGAGCCAATGGCTCCTCCCTGGTGCTGGGAGGGAAGGAGACAAAATGGAGTGCCGGGGTGGGCGTCCCTCAGGCTTTCACTTCCTCCTCGGTGCCGCTGTGGTCTGGGAGCCAGCTGGCCTCACCTCGCGCCCTGGCACTGGCCTCGGGATGCGGCTTGTGTTTGCAGGTCACAGCAGGCGGGGATGCTCTGCTGGAGGCCGTGTGTAGGAGCTTGGGCTTCTCGCAGACCATTTCAGCCTGGGCTTGGTGGTTTGTGTCTGGATCGGGCCCCCCGGCCTGTCCCCTGCCCCGCCCCAGGCCTAGGTGCAGCCTTTGTGCTCAGAGGCAGAGCTGTGGGTGCCCAAGGGGCTTTGACTGCTGAGCCATCAGGTGTGTGCTGAGATGGGCTTGAGCCCAGTCTTGCAGGACCGTCCCCACCCGCCCCGCCAGTGAGTCTGTGCAATGGCCCGTCAGTCAGTGAATATCATGCCCGAAGCCCCTGCATGACAGCTCCGGCCCAGACTGGCTCTGGGGGTCCACTCCGGAGTCCTCCGCCCAAGCCCGCTCACCCTGCCAGGGGGATGGGCCTGCCCCTGGAGCCGCCGCCCCCGGCCAAGCACTGCCCCTGCCCCATCCTGCAGGCTACGAAGAGACCCTGACCCGCCTGGCCGCCATCCTTGCCAAACACTTTGCTGACACACGCATCGTGGGCACTGGTGAGGAGCCCTCCAGAGGGCTTGGGGCATGGGGATGGGATGGCGTCTCCGGCCGGCTCTTGTCTGCTCAGAATGCCGTCCGGGTGGGCGTGAGGCGCGGGGGCTGGGGCTCGTGCCAGGTACCTGCTGAGGCACGGCCTGTCCCAACAGACATCCGTGACTCGCTGATGCAGGCCCTGGCCAGCTACGTGTGCTACCCACACTCCCTGCGGGCCGTGGAGCGGATCCCCGAGGAGCAGTGAGTGCGGGCCAGAGCGGGGAGGCACGCGCTCTGCCCCACACGGTGCCCAGCCTCAGCCCTTACCCACCACCCCTTGCCCTCGCAGGCGTGTCGCCATGGTGAGGAGCCTCCTGGCTCCCTATGAGCAGCGGCCCTGGGCCCAGACCAACTGGATCCTGGTGCGGCTGTGGAGGGTAAGCCCGGCTGGAGGGGAGGTGGCTGTGGCAGGCTGGAGGGGAGAGCTGCCCTAACCCCAGCTGACCCCCCACGGACCCCCCTCGCAGGGCTGTGGGTTCGGGTACCGCTACACACGGCTGCCGCACCTGCTGAAAACCAAACCCGAGGATGCCAACTTGCCCAGTCTCCAGAGTGAGTGGCTGCTCTTGGGTCCTCTAGGAGTCTTCTCTCTTCTCCCAGCCTCTGTCCTGCACTCCTGCTGGGCCCCAACTCTGCCCCCTGGGGCTTCCATCTCCCAGCTTCCTCTCTGTCCAGGGACACTGGGCCTACTCCCCCTGGCTCCCCAGTGCCACGTGTGCCCTTTGGGCCCGAATGCTCTGCTGGGTCATAGGGAAAAAGGGCAGTATCTTCCCAGGCTGCCTGCAGCTGACACAGAGTGAGGACCCTGAACCAGCTTCCTGACCTCCAGCCTGGTCCCAGCACCATGTCCTTCTCCCCCTTCATTGCCATCTGCTGGTGCCAGACCTTGGGTACTTCAGTCAAGGCAGGGGCACAGACTAGGCGGTGCCCATGGAGCTTCCAAGAGGAAGAGGCATTTGGTTGGGAGCAGAGGCTTCGCTCTGTCTTTGGGGGCCATGGTCCAGCAGAGCCCTGTGAACCCGAGGACCTTCACCTAGGGCGGGCCTGGGGTGGGCCAGCTTGCAGTCTGCCTGCCACACACTGCGCTCACCCCACAGGGTGGCTTTCCTTGGCCCACGTGGTGTGTTTCTGCCCTCGTGGGCAGGGTTTTTGCGTGAAGGGGTCCCCAGAGGCTGATTGCCTTGTGCAAAGTCACACATCAAGTCCTTGCCAATTGTTTTGGTCGTGCCTGCAGGTGGAACTGAGCTGCAGATGGAGAATGGCAGTGGGACCAGATACTTGTCCTGCTGCTGTAGGAACTATTGATTTGCATGGGCGGGGGCGGGGGGGGGGCGGGTGTCCAGCCCAGCTGCGGCTAAGGGCTCTGGTTACCGCTCCCTGTCAGCCCAGACTTGGCACCCACCACCTCGGCCATATGCGAAGGCCAGGCCAAGGGCAGCAGAGGAGAGGAGAGGGCTCAGACAAGTATGTCTTAGGGACGCTGACCTGGATACGAGTGAGGAGAGGTCTGGGTCACCCTGTCTGGGTCTAGCCCTCCCTGAAAGCCATGTGGCTGAGAACTCGCTGGGGACAGGCTGGGGGGCAGCTCTAGGCTTAAGGAATGGTGTGGGGCTGAAAAGGACTTCAGCCCGTGGCTTGCCCAACAGATGGAGGGACAGATTTAGCTCTAACCCCCGGACAGGGCTGTACCCTGTCCTCCCGCCTTCGTGACCTGAGCGTTCTCAGGGAGCCATCTTCCTGTCCGTACACCAATGGCCCAACAAGTGAGGACGGAGGTAGACAGGGCAGGCAGGAGCCCCAGAATGGAGTCCTCGGTGACGCCGCCTCCTCGCGCCCCCACAGAGCCCTGCCCCTCCACCCTGCTTCAGCAGCACATGGCGGAGCTGCTGCGGGAGGGGCCCGACGTGGCGCCCAGCTTCCTCAACAGCGTCCTCAACCAGCTCAACTGGGCCTTCTCGGAGTTCATCGGCATGATCCAGGAGGTGCGTCACGGCGGGTCGGTGGGTCGGGCGGGCTGCAGCGTTGCAGTGGGCCCGGCGCGACGTGCGGCGCCCCCAGGCCACTGAGCGCTGCCTGCCCCCCGCCGGTGGCTCAGATCCAACAGGCTGCCGAGCGCCTAGAGCGGAACTTCGTGGACAGCCGGCAGCTCAAGGTGTGCGCCACGTGCTTCGACCTCTCAGTCAGCTTGCTGCGGGTCCTGGAGATGACCATCACGCTGGTGCCCGACATATTCCTTGACTGGGCCCGGCCTACGTCTGAGATGCTGCTGCGGCGTCTCGCGCAGGTGTGTCCATCTGGGCAGGGAGAGGGGGGCCCCCGGGAAGGCCCCAGTGGCGAGCCCACCCTCGACACCCACCAATGGGCTCCACAGCTCCTCAACCAGGTGCTGAACCGGGTGACGGCTGAGAGGAACCTGTTTGACCGCGTGGTCACCCTGCGGCTGCCTGGTGAGGACCCAGCGCCCCACACCCAACATATCCCGGGGCTCGCTGCCTCCGCTGGGAGCAGGGATGCCTGATCGTCCGTGCTGTGTCGGGACAGCCGGCCTGGGCCCCCGCAGCCTTAGCTCGCCCTTCTGCGGGGAGGGTGCTGGGGAGGGGGGCTGGCGCTAGCCAGGCAGGCCTAGACCCCCTGCAGGAGGAGCACGCAGCAGCTCTTGCCTTCCCTCCTCCCCCGCCCAGGCCTGGAGAGCGTGGACCACTACCCCATTCTGGTGGCCGTGACGGGCATCCTGGTGCGGCTCCTGGCGCATGGCCCGGCCTCGGGGTGAGTGTGAGGCCCGTGGGCCCACGGGAGCTGGCGTGGCTGGCGGGAGTGGGCCGGCCAGGGCCTCCTGCCGCTGTCTCTTTGCCTCTGCAGTGAACCTCGGTATCAGGCTTTTGAGGCAGGCGGAAGGCCGTGAGGTACAAACTGCCCAACCAGGTGGCAGCAGCAGCAGCTCTGAGTAGAAGAATCGGAGCGCACACTGGCTTGTGGTTATGCCTCAGGCAGGGCTGGGGTGCTATCCTGCACGTACGGGACGGCACTGCTGGGCTCGGGCTGAGGACACGCGCTGCTACTTGTGTTCGCGAAGGGTCCGGTAATGAGCATGTACCACCTTTATTAAGGAACTCCAGGACAACTGGATCCAGGATGCTCGTAGGAGCCCCCAGCTCAGCACCCACACAGGAGGGCTCTCAGACCCCTCTTCCCCGCCTCCCTGCGGTGGGTGGCAAGATGGGTATAAGACCAGGGCACGGCCTCGGCCATTAGGCCGAGACCAGTGCCAGCCCTTAAGAGGCTTCTACCCTCGAGGGACAGTGAGTTCTGGCTCAGCCCTCCCATCTTGGCCATGCTCAGCAGGCTTTTTACTGCTGAAAAGCTGGGGGACAGGCCCTGGTGGCCCTTACTGTCTTGTGAGCCCACGGAAGAGACCCTGCCCTCAGAGTGGCCTGTGGATGCCGCTGGCCAGAGACGGCGAGGCTGCTCTGGCTGGGGCTCGGGCCAGGCCCCCCGAGGGGTGGCGGGGAGGGGTCTCTCGCCTTTCTGCCTGCCCACCAGACTGCACGGAGTTGTGAAGCTTAAAGGAGGTTAGATGTTGGTGCGGGTTTCCTTCTTCCACCCTGGGTGGGGGCCTAGGTCTTCCTTTGGCGCTCTCCTCCTCTTCCCCTGGGCGCCCACTCTCTTCCTGCCCCACTGGGAAGGGGAAGATGGTTATGCTTCAGTTCTTCGCCACTACTGCTTGATAGCTGCCTCGGCCCCTAAGGGGGTGCCTCGGGCTCTAACGCACGGGCCCTTCCAGATGGCCCCAGTTCCAGGCCTCGGGGGACACTTGGGCACCAGCAGGTCGTGCGGGGGCCTCCGGCCTTTGAGCCCTGTGTGAGGGCAGAGCAGGAGAGAGGGCGGGGAGCCCAGCCCTTCCATCAGCGAGTGGGGCTGCTGTAGTTGAGGTCGAGGCCACACAGGAGGCTGGAGGACCAAGCCCCGCGCCGCCCCCAGCATCTGGCAGCTCTTGCCCGGGGCGGCAGCGGGGAGCGGGGCAAAGCAGCGGGCGGGCGGTGGCCTGGCTCTGCGCCCAGGGCAGCCTAGGATATCACCAGCGCCTCGGAGCCCGTGGAGCTAGCCGACTCAGAGCCAGCGTGGAGCCGCAGGCCCACGGGATTGTAGAGATCAAAGTCCTCGGCGACCGCCAGCTGCACGCGCCCGTTGAGGCCCCTCCTGCCCGGCTCCAGAAAGACCACGTGCTTGTGCACACTGGCCTTGCGGCTGGGCCCGTCGGGCGGGGTGGCGCCGAGCCCCGACAGCCGCGCACTCGGCTCCTGGAGGGGGCCGGGCCCGCGGGGCCAGCAGAGCCGGCGGCAGGTGCAGGTGCGGCGGTAGCAGCGGCGGCAGCCCGGGCAGGGCGGCGCGAACACGTAGAGCAGCACGAGCACCAGGCCCACGGCGCAGCCCAGCAGGGTGGTGAAGCCCGTGTTGAAAGCCTCGGGCTCCGGGCGCGGGGAGTGCACGCTCACGTTGTACTCGTGCGTCTGGTTGTGATGCAGGCGCGGCCCGGCGGCCAGGCACACGAAGAGCCCCTCGTGCCGCGGCTGCACGTTGCTGATGGCCAGGCTGCCATCGGCCAGCACCGCAATGCTGCCGTCTCGGGACCCCGGGGCCACCAGCAGCTCCTGCTTTGGGGACACCCAGGCGACGCGCACAGCCGGGGCGCTGGTGTTGCAGCGCAGCGTCAGGGGCCGACCCATCTGCACGTGCAGCTGCTCTTCGGGCCGCTCCAGGCCCCCGGCCAGGGCGGCCGAGCAATTCTCGAAGACGCGGCTGTGCTCAAAGAAGCGCACGCGGGACGTGGGCACCCTGAAGGCCAGGCACATGTACTGTGGGGCGAAGTCACTGACGGCACTGAGGCCCCGCTGGAGCCAGCGCTGCAGCAGGTGGTAGAGGCGGCAGTCGCAGGCCAGGGGGTTGTTGTGCAAGTAAAGGCCGTTCTTGAGAAAGGCCGGCAGGGCAGCCAGGGCAGCCACGGGGATGCGGCCCAGGCGGTTGGAGGAGAGGTCCAGAGTACGGAGGTGGGTGGCGCCCAGGCCGTGGAGGTGGTCAAAGGAGAAGGAGGAGAGCTGGTTGCAGCCCAGGTAGAGCCGGCTGAGTGCGCCCAGGCCCCGGAAGGCGAGCTCGTCCAAGTGCGCCAGTCGGTTATTGAACAGCAGCAGCCTCTCGAGCGCCCCCAGCCCTTCGAGGTCGTGGCGTCCCAGCGCCCGCAGCGCGTTAGACGATAGGTCGAGCAGCCGCAGGCCGCTGGCGTTGGTGAACACTCCGCGACCTAGCGCGTCCAGCTCGTTGTGGCCCAGGCGCAGGGCGCGCAGCCGGGAGAGGGGCGTCAACCAGCCGGGCCGCAGGCGCTGGAGCGCGTTGTGGCTCAGGTCGAGGTCTGTGGTGGCGGCGGGCAGCGCGGCCGGCACGTCCTGCAGCCCCAGGCCCGCGCAGCTCAGCAGGTCGGCAGCGCACACACACCTGTAGGGGCAGTCACGGGGACCGGAGGGCAGGAAGCCCTCCGCGCCCAGGCCGCCCACCCCGACGCGCGACAGGCACAGCAGTGCGCCCAGCAGCACCAGCCAGACCATGGTGGCGCCTGCCGGGGGCTGGGACGGGGCAGCTCTGTGCCGGACACGCCGCGCCGGGACTCACCCACTTCTGCTGGCTGTGGGCTCAGCCCCGCACGCCCACCGCCCCTGCTCCCCCGGCTCCGGGGCGGGATTTGGGGCAGGCCTGCACTCCGCACTCTCTCCTCTGGCTTCCCCAGCGCTCCGAGGGCTTTCCCTGGTCAGCTTCTAAATACCCTCCCGGAGGAGGGCGGGGCCGCAGCCTCCCATTGGCTCCTGTTGGAGGGGGCGGGGCAGCCCCTCTCCTCCCCGCGACCGAGGTTCCCCGCGTGGCCGCCAGAGGGGGCGCGAGCCCGCCCCGAATGCCCCAGCCTGTGCTTGGCCAGTGGCTTTGCCCGTGCCCTCGCCCATCTCCCCCAGAACAGTAGGAGGGGAAACCTGGGAGGCACTCCTTTAAGCTGCTAGTGATGTTCTTTATTTGTTTTCTTTGGAGAGTTAGTGTTTATTAGGGGTAGGCAGTCTTTCACTATCTGCTGGTCACCCCCTTAAACTGGTACCCAGGTTGTATGAGTTCTTGCTGGGCTCTAGGATGAGGGGCATGGGGTGGGGGCGGTGGGTGAAAACAAGAGGTGAGCTGGATTGCCCCACCACCCCCGCCCCTCCAGCAGGTACTGCTTTCTGACTACGCTTGTTCCCCTCTCCCACCTAGGAGAGAGCGAGCCACGTCCGTGCTCCTTGCTGATCCCTGCTTCCAGCTCAGCTCTATATGTTATCTCCTGGGGCAGCCAGAGCCCCCTGCCCCTGGCACTGCCCTGCCTGCCCCTGACCGGAAGCGCTTCTCCCTACAGAGCTGTGAGTGGACTGGGGGTGGGTCAGGGGGTTGGGGCTGGACTAGATCAGGAGTCTCAAAAAGAACAAAACCCCAAGTTGCGGTACTTAAGAGGCACTGGGTTTGAGGGCCACGTTGGGTCTGACACCTGCTACCGCCCGCAGACACAGATTACATCAGCGCGGAGGAGCTGGCCCAGGTGGAACAGATGCTGGCACACCTGACCTCTGCCTCTGCCCAGGCAGCTGCTGCCTCCCTGGTGAGTGGGGGCCGCCGCATCCGGCTGTGCGCCGCCCACATACACGCTGGCACAACTGTGCACACGACATAGGCTCCTTGTCTGGGCATCCGGCCCCAGCTCACCCTGCGCTCTGCTCCCTGCAGCCCACCAGCGAGGAGGACCTCTGCCCCATCTGCTATGCTCACCCCATTTCCGCCGTGTTCCAGCCCTGTGGCCATAAGTCCTGCAAGTAAGTGGGCCCCATGGGCGCAGGGGGCTGGGAAAGCGGCAGGGATACCCAGGCCCTCTCCTCCCCCCCTCCTCCCCCTCCTCCCCCGTTGTAGAGCCTGTATCAACCAGCACCTGATGAACAACAAGGACTGCTTCTTCTGCAAAGCCACCATCGTGTCTGTAGAGGACTGGGAGAAGGCGGCCAGCGCAAGTACCACCACTTCCTCAGCCGCCTAGCCCGCACAGCAGCAGCCTCCAGCCCTGAACTCAGACCCAGGCTGGGCCCTATTTATGAGCTTCCCCTTGCCCTGTTCCCCATGACCCCCCGCCGCCACCACCACCACCACGTCCAACCTCCTTGCCTGAGCGTAACCTCACTGGCGGGAGCCCAGCCATGTCCTGATTGTGCCTGAGCTTGACTTCCAGTCAGGGCCACAGTGAGCATTAAATTATTATTCCATACAGCCCTGGCCCGGCCCTTCTTGAGGGAGCGGGCTTTGTGGGGTATGCCCAGCAAGGAGCCTGCCAGATTACGTCCACGGGAGAGGGCAGGCGTCCAACCGCTTCAACCTCGTCTAGTCCTCCCAAAGAAACGGCGAGTCCAGGGCCTTCTGATGTGTCACACCAGGGCTCCCCCCGCCAGTGGGGAACTGGGGACTCGGCCGGCCCCATGGTATCCCCTCACATGATGATACGAGGCTCTGGCACCGACTCGCCGATAGACTTGTGGGGCAGCACGCTGGCGCCGTTGAGGTAGAGCTCGTCGTTAACGATGACGTCTTCACCCAGGACCGTCACGTTCTCCATGCGCACCTCGGGGGAGGGGGGCAGGCCTGGTCAGCAAGGCAGGCTCATTCCCTGCCCCTCTCCCCATTCGGCCGAGCCCCTAGACTTACCCACTGGCCCACGCGGCAGCGCCAGCCCACAATGCAGGACTCGAGCCAGGAGTGGGATCGGATGTGAGCATCTCGCAGCACTGTGCACCGCCGGATGCACACGCCATCCTCCACCACCACACCAGGACCCAGGCTCACGTTGGGGCCGATGCTGCAGTTCTGGCCGATGCGGGCACTTGGGTCCTAAGGACAGTGGGGAAGATACAAGTGAGGCATTCATCTCCTAAGCCTGAGAAGGGGCATTTATGATGGGCCGGGCGGGGGCCTCACCACCAGCACGTTGCCCACAATGCCAGGGCCTGAGCATAGTTGCTCAGGCTGCTTCTGTCGCAGGGACTGTAGGAAGAGGCACATGCCGGTGAGGAAATCCTTGGGCTGCCCTATGTCCATCCAGAAGCCTGTTGGGAGGAAATGCATCAGGGGGCTCAGCCCAGCCACACCACACCCCTACCCTGTGGCCTCCCTGCCTCACCCTGCAGCTCCATGGCATATAGCTGCCCCTCCTTGGCCATGACAGGGAAGATCTCCTTCTCAATGGATGTAGGCTGCAGCTGTGGGAGTGGGCAGCTTGTGAGCAGGGCCGTGGTGGTAGGGGCCTGCCCTACCCCAGCCCACCCCGCAGCTGGCTTCCACACACCTGGATGCGCCGCAGCACTGCAGGGTTCAGGATGTACATTCCTGCGTTGATCTTGTTGGACACAAACACCTGTGGCTTCTCCACGAAGCGGTGAACGCGGCCTGTGTCAGCCTCACATACCACCACACCATACTTAGAGGGCTCCTCCACTTTGGTCACCTGAGTGCAGGGGGAACCTCAGGCCCAGTCCAGGTGTGTCTGAGCCTCGATAATGCATACTGTCCTAAATCTCGGGCTGTGCCCCAATGCTTAAAGATACATACGGTACAGCTTTGCACCCACAACACAAGGGGAGGGTTAAAGGCTGGGCAGCGGGACAGGCTGGGCATGCGGGACAGGCGTGTCAGAGAAGAAAGATCTGGTCCCTTACCAGGATGGAGCCCTCCTGGCCGTGGTGCCGGTGGAACTGCACCATGGCTTGGAAAGGGAAATCGCAGATCACATCACTGTTGAGGACGAAGAAAGGGTCCGCAGTCTCAGAGAGCAGGTCACGGGCAAGTGCCAGGGGCCCAGCTAGGAGAGAAGTACAGGTCACCATCTTCCCCGGGGGCGGGGGGGGGGGGGGGGGGGGGGGGGGGGAGGTGGACGGACAACTGAGCCCCTGGATCCAGGCTCAGCAGACCCCATCCAGGCTGGGTCTTACCCCTTCCCAGGCCCTAAACCCTCTCCCCAAGGGACTTTTACTGACCTGTCCCCAGAGGCTCTTCTTCATGGGACATGGAGATTCGAATTCCCAGCTGTAAGGGAGAAGCCGCCTGTCAGGTGCCTCCCACCAGGGTGGGTGGTTGCGCGGGGAGCGAAGAAAAAGGTGAAAAGTCCGAGCCTCACCCTCTGCTCCTGCGCCTTCATTTCCTTCTCCAGCACCTGAGACATGTAGCTCACGGCCAGAATCACGTGGTCCACGCCTGCCTGTTGTACAAAACAGCGCCGGCCGATAGAAGGGCTCAGCCGGAAGGTACGGGCGTCCGCGACCCCCAAGTGCTAGCCGTCCCTCGTCCTGCCAGGTCCCACCGCGACACCGACCCCGGGTCTTACCGCGGCCAGCGCCTCCACTTGGTGCAGCAAGATGGGCTTATTGCAGAAATCCACCAGTGGCTTCGGGATGCTCAGCGTCAGCGGCCGCAGACGTGTCCCATAGCCGCCCACCAAGATCAGTGCCTTCATCGCGCCTGCGGGCGGCCGGAGAGTGAGTCCCGGGCTCCGCGGCCCGGCCCGCCCGGCCGAGCCCTGCCGCGCACTCCCGCCGCCGTGCCCGGCCCCGCGCCCTTCGCCTGCCAGACTGACCCACTCTGGCTCTGCCTTGGCCGCGCAGTCCGCCGTGACGCCGGCCCGGGGCTGCACCCAGCAGGACGCGACGCCAGACGAGGGCGGCTAGCCCCGAACTCAGGCCGGACCTAGGCGGGCGGTGACGTGAGCCCGAGCCGGCCAATCGGCTGCCGTTGACGTGGCACGGACGCCGACGTCGGAGCGCTGACACGCGGCGCTCCGGCAGACGTAGCCAATAAGAGCCCGAGCGCGGCCGGCTGCCATGGGGACCGGGCCCCGGGCCCGCGGGTCAGCTAACCATTGGCGGATCCAAAGGCGGAACTGGCGCCAAGGGCGAGGCTTCCTTCCCGACGGGTGCCAGGTCCGCCGCCGCACGGGCGCTTCCGGCCCCGCCCCGGGACGGCGGCTCGGGGGCGCGGCGGACGGACGCGAGCGGCGGTCGGGCTGGGCCTGTCCTCGAAGCCGCGGGACAGCAAAGACGCGGACACACCTCAGTTTCTAGCGGCTTTATTTTGACATACACGACCTCAGACACAAGCGGGGCGGGCAGCGCTAGGTGTACAGAAAGGGGCGACCCGGCGCAAGGCCCGAGCACCCCTCCCCGGCACGCAAGGTCCCGAGGAGACGCAGCTGGCCCAGCCGCGGCCGAAGCCGAGAGTGGAAGGGGGCGCAGGCCTCGGGCGGCGTGGGCAGGTTTAGGCGGGAAAGCGGAGCAGAGAGCGATTCCTAGAGGCGAGGCCTCACAGTTCCCCGAGAAGCAAAGGAACCAGGTCCTTCCCAGGGTGCTCCAATTTTTTTCCTCATTAAAACTTTTTTTTAATCGGCAAAAACAAAACCAAATTGAACAGCGATAAAGTTCCAAGCAATCTGCATCGAGGGGGCGTGCACGTGGACGTGCGCGAGGGAGCAGCGGCTAAAGAACTAGCCCAGGCCTTTGGCCCCTGGGGAAACCCCCACACCCACTGCACAGGCCCCAATGTGAGGGAGGGGTGGGGTCCCTGGCAAGTTGCTACACTGGTCCCCTTCCTCGTTAAGCACCGCCGGTCCCACTCCCCCCCCCCCCGGGGGGGGCTGGTGTCTACTTGGCCCAGGGAAGCACTAGAGAGGGGGGTCACTTGAGCACCCCAACCCGTGATCCCGCGTTGCACTTTGGTCCCAAGTTGGGGTTTGGGAAGGCAGGGCCTGGCAGGGACAGGGCTCTCTGACAAGGAGCAGGCAGAAGGAGTAGAGGCAGAGTGTGTGTGTGCACACACATGCCCACCACCCACCAGGTAACAGAGCTGAGTCTCCAAGTGTCAAAAGTGCTGAAAAGAGGGGTCCTGCCCTGATGGAGTAGCAGCAAATCCCAGGCCCTTCTGCTCTTTTTAGTGCCAGGAAAACGCTGAAGATAGTGGGTATAGTCTCTCTCACTATGAAGAGCACAACGGGGCAGCATGTGCTCCCAAAATACAGGAACTCAGGAGGCACAGCACATCCCCAGGCTGGAGAGGTTCAACTAAAGGGGGTCCCAAGTGGCCCCTGACTCTTGGTCTTAGCCTCTGCCCTGCCAGGAAATGCCAGTCCAAACGAATGAGCTACTACCCCCCTGAAGCCACAGAATGGTACAGGAAAGATGGTCGTTACTGACCAGAAACAAGCAAGCTGTCCCTCCCAGCCCCAAGGAATGGGAACCTGCCCACTACTGGCACCAGGATCAGAGGGCTGAGAGAGAGACGGGATCCATCAAGGAGCCCATTTAAAATGTGTGAAGCTGCATCTCTAAGGAATCGGAAAGTAGTCCACCACTTCCAAGGCCTCGACAGGCTGGCAGGCTTACCTTTAATGCCCAAACAAGGACACGCCCAAAGCAACCATGACAGTGGCCCTAGGCTCAGAGGGGAGGGCACTAACCTTGGCAATGGCTAGGTGAGTGCAGTGTCACCTCCTGGCCACATGTTCGAGGTGGCAGGTCTCTGTGCCATTAAGGGCTGGAGGCAAAAATTATTAAAAACCACCAGAAAGATCACCCCTTGGGCCTTCACTGTACCACTGTCCACGTGGAGCAGGGCTACACACTGCCAGGCCCACAGAGAAGGTGCTGGGCCATCCGGGAAACACCTCCTACAATTCATTTGCTACCAATTCTTTGTAAAAAGGTCGCACCTGCTGACAACAGGCACAGGGGCAAAAGCTCACCTCAGAAATGGCAGGACAGAAATCAATATTTACTAATGAACAAGGCTACAGCCCAGGAAAAAGATCCCAAGAGACAAGGGCTGGCTGGGAGATGGACAAATGGACAGACTGATGGATCCCAGGACTGATAAGACGAAACTCATTAGCAGAATCTGGACACCTGCACCCAAGGCCCAAACAATGTCTCTATGAACAGACAAGCTTCAAGCTCTCCCTCACAAGACTGGAGCTCCTCACAATGGGTTGCTGCCTTGAGCTTAGCCTGGAGAAAGGTGACACCCTGAGCGGACCACAGCCCTTGAGCCCTGGGAAGGGCAGACCATCCAGAGGCAGCACAGCTGCCCAAGCTAGAGGAAGACGACTCCCACCCACAGCACCAGAACTGCAAATACTGTCTAGGCCAGAGCCACCAGACGCCCTGAGGCCTGCTGGGACACCGACTCTCCTCGGCAAATAGAGCAGGGACCCCCTTCAATGGGGCAAGAAGGGG